CTTCCCTTGTCCAGTCCCCCTCCCCCCCATGCCTTGGCTGGAGGTGATGACACCTGCTGACGGCACATCCCTGAGTGGCAGACACAGGGGTTATGGGAAGTGTGCAGAGGCCTGACCCACAGCAGGTCAGCCCCCACAGAGGTACAGGTTGTGAGATATTAGATACCTTTGTCCCAGTTAGTAATTAGCTGCTGCCTGGGGTCCCCAAGGAGCCTTCCCCTTGGTACCCCAGCTCCTTCTGCAGGACCCCCAGATCTTTTCCCATTTAGTCTCAAAGAATGGAAGCCTGGCCCAGCAGGGCACCCCCAGCATTCATTGTGCTGGGTTTGTGTGGTGCCCGTGAATACATGATCAGGTGGCTTGAGCTGTGGGTCTTTGGGAATGTGGGATCTGAACTCCGAACCTTGTTCACAGACGGTGTTGTTTGGGCCATTGGGAGACCCAGGAATGGGCTTCCAGCCAGGGCGGCAGCGGCACTCATAGCTGCCCTTGGTGTTGTTGCATTGGGTTGAATTGTGGCAGATATGTTCTCCTGAGGTACATTCATTCACATCTGAGGACAAAGCCAGAGCGTCAGGCCCTCCCTCTACTCCTTGCTCGCATCCTTCCTGCCCCTTCTCTCAAATCCCTTAGCAGTTCACCCCGAGGATACCCCACTATGCCCCGCTTACCAGCTACCTAGACTGACAGGATACAAACTGTGGTGACATTTTCCACTGTAAAAGCACCACGAGCTCAGAGCGCCCCTGCAAGGCGGACAGGGCAGGGCTATGCATGTGCAAGTGTCATCCCAAAGCTGTGCCCCCACCTGTGGGGCAGGATGGACTGGGGGACTTCTAACCAGGGAGGCTGCCACACTGATAGCTACCATTCGCCGAGGCTGTGGGCTGTAGCACCGATGCGCCCAGAGCTGCAATCTTGCCCTTATTAGAACAGAATCCGAGCCCTAGCCGGTTTGGTTCAGTGGATAGAACGTCGTTCTGCAAACTGAAGGGTCCCAGGTTCGATTCCGGTCAAGGGCACATGCCTGGGTTGCGGGCTCGATCCCCAGTAGGGGGTGTGCAGGAGGCAGCCAATCCATGATTCTCTCTCATCATTGATGTTTCTCTCTCTCTCCCTCTCCCTTCCTCTCTGAAATCAATAAAAATATATTTTTTAAAAAAGAACAGAATCTGAAGCTCAGCCCTGCCTGGCCCAGGTCCCCCTCTCCTCACTGCCTGCCCTGGGCACACACCGTTTCTGAAAGTGCTGCCCCTTCTCTGCCAAAGCACCTTATGGCAGCTGCCTTTCAGGTGGCTCAGCAAAGTAAAGAAGAAGTGGGTCATTTATGAGATCTGAACTCCAAACCTTCACAGACGGTGTTGTTCGGGCCATTGGGGGACCCAGGAATCGGCTTCCAGCCACGGCGGCAGCAGCACTTATAGCTGCCCACATTGTTGAGGCAGTGGGTGGTTTTGTGGCAGGGGTTTTGCCCCGAGGTACATTCATTCACATCTGAGGACAAAGCCAGAGCGTCAGGCCCTCCCTGCACCCACTTCTCATTGCCTGAGGATCCTACCTTCAGTACACATGCCACCATCTGGTGACCTTCAACTTCACCCTCAAAGCACATTACGGTGGCCTCCTACAAGATGGACATGGCAGGGACCATAGTCTCCAGTTTATAGGTGGCAAATCCAGGAGGGAAACTGAGTCACAGGGACTAGGTTTCCCTACCAAGGACTCCTGCCTACACCCTCCTGGGCCCTGGCCCTGGTTCCCTTCTGGGAACCAGAAGTCACACCTCCCCCTGCTGCATGTGACAGATGAGGAAAGGGAAAGGTCTGGGGGTGCTCACAGGGGCTCCACAAGGAAACCCCAGGCCCAGAAGGCCCTGCCACCGCCCTGCTCTGTGGCAGGACTTTTCAGGGAGGCAAATCCTTAGGCAGGGCCTTGGCAGGGAACCTGAGAATCTTCTCCTGCCTCCTGGGGCTGCGGGACCTGTGTCGGCTCCTTCCCCAGCTCCATCCAGTCCAGTCTCACAGCGTCCTCCCGGGGCCTCTACCTTTGCACAGCTTCGGGTCCTCCAGGTTGAGCTCAAATCCTGGTGGGCACGTGCAGGTGTAGCTGCCATGGGTGTTGACACACTTGTGGCTTTTACAGATTCTGGGGTTCAGACATTCGTCCATGTCTGCAAGGGGAAGGAGAGGGTGATGGATGCCTGCAGCCGTGGGCAGCCTTCAAGGCTGGGAGTCAGCCACGTGTCCTGCCATAGAAGCATCTGAAGGCCCCACTGCCTCCTCCCAGGCGAGTGGTGCCTTTTCTAATTCACATGGAGGCGTCCTGTGGGTGAGCATGGTGGCCTAGGTGCTCTGTTGTCCAGATGTGGACAGAAGCGGTCCAAGTCCTCCCTCTGACTCCCTCCACCACCATCTCCTCTCCAGGCAGCTCCCAGCTAGGGCAGGGACATCACTGCCACCTGTGTCCCAGCCTGAGGACTTGGGCAAAGGCCAGGGTGGGCATTCCTGGAACCAAGGGTGGGAGAAGTGCTGCAGGCCCTGAGCAGGCTCGTTTCGGTGGCCTTTGTCCTGACTCCTGCGGGTGGTGCTGTGGGCTGAGCTCTCCTTGGAATCCTGGTGACTCTGGTGAGACAGCGCTCTCCCATCCACATGACTTCTGAGACTCCAGCCCATGGAGATGGACCGAGAACCACCCTGAGCCTGACCCCTCGCGGACAAGGCTTTTAGGCCGGGCCCAGAATGTGAAAATGATGCCAGATAGGCCAGGACCACCTGGACAGTGGGTGCCAGGCCATGAGGGCAGTGGGGCTGACATCCAGCCATGCTGTCTTGTGGTGAAGGTGACCCTTCTGATCCCCCTGAAGGCATCCCCTGGACAGGCAGGGAGTGATGAGAATCCACATGTGAGTTGGCCAGCGGTGGGCAAGGGCTGGGTGCCTGGAGCGGGGAGCAGCAGCTGATGGGTGAAGAGTGGCAGGTGTGTCTGTCATCTGGCTCCTTGTTCTCCCACCAGGGACACAGTCCTGTGGGCCTTGCCTAGAGGGGATGAACTCTGTCTTCTGTAGCCCCATGGTCTGGGCCCCCATGGCACCTGGGTTGACCTCCTTGGGAGAGGATTGAGCCCGGGGCAATGGTCCCCGATGACGCCCCCTCTTGTCACCTGGTCCAGGTGGGAGCCTCTTCCTTCACCCAACTCTCAGAGCTTGGGGCTGGGTGGGGAGGTCGACGCCACCCAGTCCTCCCCCAACATGTAACCCATCTGGATCCGGTCATCAAGCTGCCCACCGTCCTGAGAACTGCAGTTACAGGTGAGGGTCAGGGTGGACGCTTGCTTGGGGGATAGATGGAGGCCGAGTGGCTGAGAATTGGGGTCAGGGTATCAAGAGGCAGCTTCTCCAGCTGGGGCTGTGGGCCAGAGGCAATTTTCTTAAGGGAGTCCCTGGGCCATCATGGCCCGGGGGGCCTGGGAGGGCCTGGCATGGCTGCCCCTGTGTGGGCTCCGGTGGCATCAGGTCTCATCCAGCAGGCACTGGCGATGGGGAAGAGGACGATATTGCTCTGGAATGCACTGTGCCATGAGCTCTTGAAGTATCTTGACTGCCGCCCTCGTGTGTTTTATGCAATAAGACACCAGGTGAGCAGGCTCCGAACTTCTGGAATGGCCTCTGCAGAGGGTTCTGAGTCTTGTGGTTCAGAGAGGGTGGGAGACCAGGTAGGTGCCTGGGATGGCCCTTTGATGTCTGGAGAAAGAGGGGTGAGCGGCCGAGGAAGGGGCCCAGGTCTCCTGCTCAAAGCAGACCTCGTGGGCCGTGACGCGAGCAGACAGGTCCTCAGGTCGGCAAAGGCTGGAATGCCGAGGTGGGCAGGTGCGCAGACGGCCCAGCTGAACCCGTCACAAAGCTAGGTCTTCAGGTGGCAGGTCCTGATCCAAACCCGCAGCAGCTCTCCCCCTGAGGTGCCTCCTCTGCCACCTCTCTTGTTCGGCCATGTCTCTGCCCAGCAGCTCTGGCCCTGTCTCTCAGCCTGGCCTGTTCCTGACACAGCCACACACCTCAGTACCCACAGCACCACCTGCGTGCAGGGCGTGCAGGCACGCTGAATGGGACCCATGACCACCGCTGCGGTTGTGCAGGTGGCTCACTGCACAAGGGGGTCCAGCCAAGGAGGCAACTGGGGGCTAAACACCAGCTCGCTCTCCATTCCCCAAACACACCGTGTCCACCTGGAGACCAGGGACATGTTTCCAATTCACATGAAGGCTGTGCCCTGTGCGCAGGCTACACATCGGGGGCATAACGTCCCCCACAGAGGCCCCTGTGGACCAGCAGTGCCGTGGATGGAGCCCTCCCGCTGGGCTCCGGCAGGTGCAGGTGCCCCCTTCCCTCCCACCAGGAGGCTCTGCCACCTGCCTCTGCACACAGGGCAGGCCTGCGGACCCGGCTCAGAGCCCCCAGGATCCCCAGCTCAGCCTCCTCCTCCGCTCTCTGTGTTCTTCACTAACCCCCCCTCTCTGGGTGAGTCATGGCTTCTGCCTGACCACTGCTGGCTCCATCTGCCTGCGGATGCTGAAGCCCCTTCCCTGCCCACCTGCTCTCCCTGGAAAGGGGCAAAGCCTGGTGATCATGAAGGCCTGGCTCCTCTTGGGTCCCTGGGGAGGGGAGGGGCCAGGCCAGCTGTTCTGAGTAGCCACCGGGGTACATCCCCTGGGATGTCCAACCCGGAGAGGGTGTGTTAGATCAGAATGAGTGTGGTCTAAAAACCCAACAGCCACCACTGTGCTGTGCTCTATGATCTCATATACTCTCCCAGCGATTCTGTGAGGTAAGCACCATTGTCACTCCCTTTTACAGATGGGTAAACTGAGAGGTGAAGAATGTGTCCAAGGTCATACAGTTAACAAAAGTTTTTATCTGTAAAAGGTAGGCTCTCTCTCTCTCTTTTTTTTTTTTTTTTTACACAGAATCACAATAATATTATCACATCTCACAGATAGATGATTTCTGAATAAGTGTCCTGGCTGGCGCTGCATACACAGCTGTCAGGTATCAATACCAGGACTTGGGTCCTTGGCTCTCATGCCACCCTCCTCCCTGTGCTAGTGGGACAGGCACACGCACACTTGCCCACTCAGACCTGGGGGCTGCACCTATCACCAGGGCCTGGCACCCTGTATGCCGCAGGAATGGCTCTGGTGACTCCAAGCCTCATGGACGGGGAGATGGACGATGCGGGTCATTCTTACCTTGACACGTGTTCTCACTTGCATCACTGAACTTTGCTGCCCCAGAAGCAAGCCTGTATCCTTGGTTGCATGTGCAGTAGTAGCTCCCCACCGTGTTATGGCAGTCTGCCTCTCTTCCACAGGCCTTCACTCCGCGTTGTTCACATTCGTCAACGTCTGCAACAAAACGGGATAAAGGGTCACCTCCCAAAGCCA